TAAAAATATATAACGGGTCTAATTTAATAGAATTTTTTTAATGATTTTATTGGGGGCTCACACAACTCTTATCACAATCCATACACACAGCAGTTGTGTCCAGCACATTTGTCCATTAACAGACTTCTCAACAGCAATCATTCCTGGGCGTGCCTGCAGTCCTGAGCAAAGAACTTGGCTGTATCCTGAGTCACTTCTGATCCTGAATTGGAACCTGGTGCTTCCCCTAAGAAACCCCATTGGAATGAAAGCAAAGTATTTTAAAATGATCCCCACTTTTAAAAAGAGATTCATTGCCATCGAGCCGATTCCTATTCACGGCCACTTCCATGTCAGTGCAGAACTGCTCCACCGAGTTTGCAGGCTGTGACGGTTGGGAAGCCAACTGCCAGGTTGTTTAGGCCTGGGTTCCAACTGCCAGCCTTTCAGTTACTAGTCAAGTGCTTAATGGTTTGCGACACCCCCCTGGGACTCCACTCATCAAGCACTGTGGATCAATCCACAATTTTATCCCTACGTGCATAGACTGTGTACATAAAGAGTATCAGAAAAGGCTGTTCACTTTCAGTCCTAAACCATAAATAAGAAGGATGGTTAATTTGTCACTAAGAGAAAGAAACTAACATTTTCTCTCTCTGCTTCCCCTTCCTGTTGATGAGCCACTTTGAGCTGTGCTGATGGCAGCTAGAGCCCTGGAGATGCATCCACCGCCACTGGATTTACAAGACCTTGCACTCAATGGCCTGTGATCTTCTTGCATTCTGTATCATTACATGTGGCTGTATACCATGGAAGACAGCTCCAACCCATTGCTACACGATGCACAAGAGAACACAACATTGTACAGTCCTATGCCATCCTCCCAATTGTTCCTACACCTGAGCCCATTGATGCAGCACTGTGTCAATCCATCTTGTTTGAACCTAAAAGCTCACTACCATGGATTTGATGCCAACTCAGTGACCCTGTGACCCAGGTCAACTGTCCCTGTGGGTTTCTGATACTGTGGCTCTTTATGGGAGTAAACTTCATCTTTCTCCTAGGTGATCTCCAACTGGCAACTTTGCAGTTAGCAGCCCAAAAGGTAACCACTGCACCACCAGGGCTCCTCAACAAGTACAAGGAAAAAGAGACATCTTGGAGCTGAGATTGGCAATAGCTGAACAACTCTTAGGGATGTAAATGAACTATTTACATTGTATGTCAGTGAAACTTCAAAATAAACTAATTTTCAAAAGCTTAAAAAGAATTAAAAAATAAATAAAATTACTTCTTCATTTTCTTTTCCATTGAATTACCCAGAAAACTGTTTGCCAGCACTCCTTCCATTAGCCTGGATTCTCAGGAGCTAACTTGGTGGTGAAATTCCATGCAAGAGGGCAGGACACAAAGTGAAAGCCACTGGTTGTTTATATGCAATATTTTGAATCAAAGGAAGCATGACAATATTTGGAATTTTTAAATATATTACCTATGGAAAAATGTAAAAATAATTTCAGCCAAAACAAGACAAAATCCAGTAATGTGCTTTATTCTCCTGCACCTTACCAACAAGAATTATACCATGTCCTGTAACCTGATCAATACCTAGCAGCTTCACTAACTATATTGAAGGAGTCTGGGAAAATGGAAGCAATTTGTAAACCACTCTGTAGAAACAAGTGATATATACTGTAATAAATACTAAGTGCCTAGTTATTCATAGTAATAACATTTGCTTACATACAACACCAGTATACCTTACTGTTGACTAAAACACCATGAATTATGTTGCCTTTATTTTTGTGACTTTCCAAAACAAGGAACAATTCTTGGTCTAATTCTAAACCAAAAGGGAGATCTCCCCTGGATATGTGTCTGGGAGTCTCCATTACTGGTTTCTCTATTCCTTAAGGCAGCCCCCCTCTATCAAGAGATACAGAGATAGCACCAAAAGCAGGAAGGAAGCCCCGTCTCACCTCCCAAAACTGAAGCCAAAAGGAGGCATCAGGGGCCTAGGAGGAGTATAGAATGGCATCCACAGCCAAAAAAAGCAGTCCAAGCAGCTTCCAAACAGTGACCCCAGGAGAGACCAGCATGACCACGGTGCCATCAAGTTCCCACTGACCACTCATGAGTCAGCAATGAAGACGATGGAAAACACCCACACACAGTGTTCACTGCAAGTGTCAGATCGGGTAGGCACCAGACCACACACTCTGGGAGGAGCTGTGTGACATTGGCAGGCCCTGGAGGCAAGAAGGCATAAGCTCAGTTGGCTCCTTGGTTCCTGGCTACAATACTTTGGATGTTGCCAACAAAACTGGGACCATCTATCTAAACCGAGTCCCGATGGCTAATTCTGAATATAAATTTTTTTACCATATTAAAAGATTAAAAGATTGTAAGCAGGGTTTTGCCACATATAAGTGTTTGGAGAAATATTCAAAACCTGCAGCATGCAAATTTATTCTTCTTTAGAAGAAGAGTTCAACAAACCGTAGGCCATTCAACCCATGGCACTTGTCTGCTTGAGCCAGCAACACCTGTCAATAGTGACAACAGAACATGCCTTGAGGATAGAAGATTCAAGGGTGCTGCTTTAGGATATATGCCTCCCGACCTCTCAATTTGTAAAACAATCATCTTAACATGCACAAAATATAAGATAGTGCCTTTTTACTCCAAAACTTGTATGAGATTAAAGTGGTCTTTTCTAAGCTACAGGAGCCCTGGTGGGGCAGTAGCTTACTTGGACTGCTAACAGCAAGGTCAGTAATTTGAACACACCAGCTGCTTCTACAGGAGGATAAAGCTTTCTGCTCCAGTAAAGATTTATACCCAAGGAAACCCAAAGAGGCAGGTCTACGTCATCCGATAGGGTGGTTAGAAATCAGAATCAACTTGACAGCATTGAGTTTGTTTGTAGTTTTTCCAAGCTATTCTCTGTGAAAGAGAATGGTCAAAATATGGTAACAAACCTTGAAACGTAGACTTAAGATCTGTGTACTTATCTCTAGGTATGCTATACTTAAAATTTTATATTTTAAAAGAGATAAACTGATACTATTTGCACAAGAAGTCCATGAATTTGTTATAAATTCTCTTCTACTTCTTCATCCTAAGTTTTTAGGGCCCGGGTTTTGAAACCGGTTCAGTCGTGGTTGATAAAGAAAAACCAGAACAGAGCTGGTCTGGAACACTAATTGGAATGGGAGAATTATGATCAAAGTCCTGGTCTGGGAGGCTCCAGAGAATCCTTTCAGGAGCTTGACACACCGGACTCACTGGATGCTTGCAAGGACTGTGGAGAGCAACATATAAATTCACAGCAGTGCATTAGCTGCCATCTCTGAGTGGGGCCCCGTTGGTTTCCACTCAGTTGTTCCAGAGATTTGGTTCCTATGCAACCCGCATCTTGCCCTTATTTTTGAAAATGGAGATCAAGTTGTAGCAGGGTTGTAACCTGTCATTTTTCCTGTTCTCATAGCATTCCTGTTTACATTAAGAAAATTCAAAGTCATCCATCCAGGTGTCACATTGTCAGCCATGACTAAACTAGCACGAAGCAAGCCCTGTTAAGAGCACAGATATTGTTAGTAATACAGAGAACCAAAGTACGGAATCCAATATCTTGTTTCTCATTCCCTCAGAACACTAAAAGCAGTCTGGGTAAGCAAGGGCATTTATTACATGGTCTAAAAGTATCCTTCCACAGATTACTCATGAATTACTGAGACTGAGTAATCAATACTCTTTCTTTATAAAAATTTTAAAAAACTTCTCTAAGAAATGTAAGAACGGCTTTTTATTTACTGCTAAAGGATCCTGGCATACGTGTCTGGAAAATTCTGGGTCACACTTCTCTGAAACATGGACAGTAGGATAGAAGGACCAAGGGGCAATTATGGATTCACTAAAGAAAGCCGTGCCTTTTCACCTCTATTTATTTAAGTATTCTGAAATACAGTGGAGAAGCCCTAAGTTTTAAAACCATTACAGTAACAGTTAAAGAAGCAGCAGTGCGCACATACACCCTATAGTTCTGCACTGTTACAGAGCTGAGAACAGGCCAATTGCATTTGGATGCCCTTTCTGTGTGCCACTTGGAAGCTCCGATGCCTATGAAATCAATTGTGGGCAGCCCGCCACGACCAGGACCCAAGCTCGCCTGCACCCAGCACACCCACGGAGTACAGACCATGTTTTAGTTGTTGATGCTTCTCTTACATAGCCTACTGACAAACACCATGGCAGCTATCATAAATTTAAAGAATAAATGAAATCACTACTCTTAGAGCAACACGTAGAACTTTTAAAAGGAAAAAAAAACAAAAGAAAGAAAGATGACCAAAAGTTAAACAGCGTAGAAAAGAAAACTTCCCTTCCCTCACAGGAAGTCTACCTGGTATTACCTGAGACCTCAGAACAACTAACCTCCAGATAACCAACACCTTTCTAAACACTGAGCATCACATGATGCACAAGACCCCGGGTTACACTTAGCAGCGGAAAGCAGGAACAAGCCTCCAGTGAAAGGTGCTCACACAGAGTGTAACAGAAGTTAAAAACTGTACCACCACAAAGCTAACCTGTACAGGTTTCACACTTCTCTTTGGCTTTTAAAGCAAAGACTGCAATTACTCCATTACCACGTCTTCTCAAACACATTTTACATTCAACACTAATGAACTTTAAATACATGTCACCTCTTGTTAAGGTATACAAACCCACTGCCACCAAGTCCACTTTGACTCCTAGGGACCCACAGGACAGGTGATTCCAGAGAACAGCCGGTGGGTTTGAACCACTGCCCTTTTGATTGTAGCTGAGTACTACAATGACTGCATCTCCGGGGCTACTGGGCATGATTTCCAAATACATGATTCAATAAAGTCTAAACTATGAAAAAGCCAGAACCTAAGAATAACTTTTACAGTGAAATTCACCATCCTAACCAAGCAACTTATTAAAATGATTGCCATAAAAAATTTAAAGTTGAAAATTACAGAAACACTTACTTCATTCCCATGTTTTTGCAGGAATTCAATTTCCTGTTGTGTGAATGTTGTCATGGAGATAGATTTCACCCTGTGGGGTGGATTTAACCCTCGCCTAAAAGAGAAAATATTTTTAAGATGTATTACTAATATGCTATAAAAATTTTTAAGTTACACAGGTAACAATTCAAACCATTCCACCACCCCCAAACCACTTTTAGTTAGTACATTTAAACTCAAAACAGAGTTTTCATCCCATAGACTAAAAAGTACTTTTAAATCACTGAAAATCTTAATCCGCACAAGAAGTAAGGTTTGGTTAACAACAAGACTCAAACTCTGTTTGAAAACAGGTTCAACAACATCCCTGTTAGATGCCCATGGCCCCTGGAACACAAAGACCATTTCTGAGTTTCTGGTGGAAGAAGACTACGTATGTGAAAGGCTTTGGGTAAAGATTTCAAGAAGTAATTAGTTCAAATACTTTCATACATACCTTAAGTTTGGAGCTACACATATATACACTTTTGTGTATTTATGTACACAACCTCTGGGTAAGTTTAAGGCTAACCCAAGGAAGCTGTCAGTAATTTACAAGGTTTACCTCTGTTAATTCAAAGGGGAATTTACAGTAAACATTTTCAATCACCTCGGGAAGCAAACCTGTTCAAAAAATAACTGCAGGGATACTGATTGGGGGCTGATGAAATATCTGGGTAGAAGATTAACTTTCAAGATCCCTTATAAACCAGAATCCTTTTCTGTATAAACCCAAACCAAACCAAACCCACTGCCACCGAGTCCGTTCAAAATCACAGCAACCCTTCCTGGGTTTCTGAGAGTATGCAGCATTACAGGAGCAGAAAGCCTCAGCTTCCTCTCAAGGAGCAGCTGGAGGTTTTTAACAACCAATCTTGTGGTTGGCAGTCCAATGAATAACCAGGGGTCCTTTTATTATGCACACGACAAGGTGAAATATGCAGAGAAATGAAATATGCACGTAGAAATACACACAGAGAAATGAAGAACTACATTCATTCTGTCCAACTATCAGAAAGACATCAGAGGCAAATTCATAAACTTATCTGTCATGTCCTCTAATAAAAATCTCGCCTGGAAATCAGACTCTAAAGCAGATCAATAATATGTGAGGGGGCTTCAAAAAACTCATGGAAAAATTCCATTTTCCAACTTTTTATTGTGACTTCAGTGAAGGTTTACAGTGCAGATCATCAGTTTACACCCACAATTGGCTTCATCTCATTCACTGTCAATTCCTTCCATGCAACACCATTCATTCAGTCCCCCACCCCACCCGCTTTTCTCCTAACCCTATTGAACTCTGTCCTGGGGCAAATGCCTCTTCCCCCTTGATCCTAAAAGGTTGATTATTTGTAAGGTGTGCGTGCCTCATACTACTGGTCCCCTGTAAACCTGGTTACTGTTTGAAAACCGAGTAACAGGTCCAGACCTGCAATGTTAACAAAGGGCCAAGAACCTGGGGTGGGGTGGTGGGGTGGGGGTGGTGTTCCCACTTGTCTCTAATCAACCAGTTAACTCTGATCACTTTCATGATTCTCATTTAAAATATAACACTTTGTCTCCAAACATAGCATATCACATCCAAATTATTTTTTTTTAAAAACCAAACATCTGAATTTACCATTTTCTGGAAAGTGTATTAATTTATTATTTGTATTTTAAACCTACTTTTTCCAAAACTACTGAAGAAGAAACAAACTCAAGAATGATCTGTCAAGCATCTACTTTCTCACTAATCATTTGGCACGTTTGTCCTAATACCTCCTCTTTTCCTTGTTCCGGCTAACACCCCTGCCCTTTGCCTTCCTAGTCCTTTTATATTCACACACACACACACACACACACACACACACACACACACACACACAGTAAAAAGGTGGAAGAATGACAGTCTAATAATAAAATGTCAAACTGTTACAAGGATACATTTTGGAGCAAACCATTACATCCTTATACTTCACAAATAGTTATATGACAAAAAGATAGCAATTCATAAAACCAAGTGTATCTTTGTAAGTTACATTTCATCTTGGAATCTCATTAAATTATAACGTGTACAGTTATATCACAAAATCCATTTATGCTCAGAGCTTTCACATTAAATAAGTGAACAAACTGTGGATTTATGAAACACATATACAAAATAGACTCAGAATCTAACCATGATAGGCTATTTTTCTCCTCTTTCCAAGAGCCATCACTACAGTTTCTTTAAGAGGGTTCTCCGTGGACTTAAAATGGAAATAGACTTACAAACTATTTTCCCAAGGTCACATTTATGACATAAACTAACTCAAAGGCAATGTGAGCTTTATTCCTGATACTTTGTTACTCCAATTGTTCTTTTATGTTCCATTTATCTGAGCAGACAGTGACTACATTCTCAATGAACGCTTCCTACATAAATATGTTTACATGTTTATAAAAGGATTTGGCAAAGAATGGAAAACTATGGACCTGTTAAGTAGGAAGCCAACTGATGATTCATAAGCACAAGAAGTCTTACACTCATGGCTGGATGAATCCACCAACATTTATCAAGAGCCTCATTCACTACATTTCACCTAGCAAGACCACTTGAGAACCTATTCCAAAGGCTTCTGATAAACGGTAATCACCAATGTTATATGGAAACAAGCGTCCTCAGATGAGCAAAGCATTACTAAAGAAGAATGAAGGAGGAGACCTGTCAAAACCTACTACAGGCCTGATGCTGGTATGAAAGAGCCCAGAAATTATTCTACTGACCTATAGTCAGCTTCAACTTTGACAAAGGGCTGAAAAGTATTGAATGGAGGAGAGATCATTGTTTTTTAACAGAAAAATTTATCAGGACCCATATTTTACCCCATATTAAAAAAAAGAACACTCGATAGCTCAAGATCTAAATATAAAACCTAGAACTCAAAAGATTATCCGTGAAAAGCTAGAGACAAACTTTGGGAGCCATAATACATGGCACAAAGCCACTAATGAAAAGCCCACAAACACAAGAAGACAAACTGTATGACTGAGACATCCTAAAAATTAGATGTTTGTGTGCATCAAAAGATTTCACCAAGAATAAATTGGGGGGGGGGTGTTTAGGTCAATGACATTTATTACACAAGAAACTGACCTCTAAAATTTATAGAAAACTTCAATACCTCAACAACCAAAAAGACCAACGGTCCAGTGGGAAAAAATGGACAGAGGACATGAACAGGCATTTCACCATTCAGGCAGCCAACAAATACATGCAGAAATGCTAATGATCATTAGCCAATGAAGAGATACAAATAACAATGAGGCAGTACCTCACTTCAGCTTTAACAGCAAAGTTAGAAAATAGAAAACCGTAAATACAGGAGAGGGCACAAAGAAACTACTGTTGAGTCTGTGAAGGGTGAGAGCATTGTGTTATCGGTGTGGTGTGTTCTCCGAAAGAGAAATGCCCTACGACCCAGCAATCCCACTCCTTAGGGTATATCCTAGAGAAGAGCCGTGACAAAAACAGATACATGCATACTCATGTCCATGGCAGTGCTGGTCACAATGCAAAAAGGTGGAAACAATGCAAACTTAGGGACATTATGGTGACGGAAATAAATGAACCATAAAAGGATACCTTTATAAAAAGTTGTGAGGCCACTATTATAAAAAGTCAACACAAGGTATTCACATTAAAAGACACCTTCTTTGATGGTTACACAGTTTGATGAGGGAGCGGAAGGAAGGGGAGGAAGGAAAAGTTGAAGGGAAAGGGTAGAAACACACTTTGGACATACTGTCAAGACACTAGTCCCTGAAGAAAGATGTCATGCTTCGTAAAGCAGAGGGGCAGCAAAAAAATAGGAAGGCAAAAAAGGAAGAAGGAAAGAAAAAATGAGTAAGCCTCCTGACAAGATGGATTGACACAATGGCTACAATAATGGGCTCAAACATAAGAACAATTGTGAGGACAGTGCAGGACCAGGCAGTGTTTCTTTGGGTTGTACAGTGTCACTATGAGTCAGAGCCAATTTGATGGCACCTAACAATAACAACAATGGTAGACACGTTTTAAGTTGGGTGAAAGGAAGGCAATGTACAATGAATTAGGAAAAAATAATGGAGACTAGGGATGACACTGGAAGATTTGCAAGACTTAAAGACAGCAGAGGCAAATAATGTTATATGCATAATCCCATAAGCGCCCTGGTGGTGTAGTTGGTTACAAGTTGTGCTGCTAACAGCAAGGTCCAGAGTTTGAAACTACCAGGCGCTCGGTGGGTTAAAGATGAGGTTTCTACTCCCATAAAGAGTTATAGTCTCAAAACCCCACAGGGGCAGTTCTACTCTGTCCAGCAGTGTTGCTATGAGTCAGAATTGACTAGCTGGCAGTGAGTTTGAGTTGTGACACAACTCTGTAGTAGTTGTGATCAACAAGTAGATTCTGGGCTAGACAAGTAAGGTAAACAGGTGTGGGAGGGAGAGTGGGCGTATACCCACGAATAATACCGTTTCCCCCAAAATAAGGCAGTGTCATATTAATTTTTGCTCCCAAAGATGCGCTAGGTCTTATTTTCAGGGGATGTCATATTTTTCCATGAAGAAGAATACGGTACACATTTATTGTTTACTGTTTTATTAAAAGAGACCTAGCACTTCCTGTCTGCTCGGGCTGCGCTGTGGCCAACAGTGAGCTGTGTGGCCCACCGCTACCGTCCAGAGTCCAGAGTTACGGTAGCTTGGGGGGGCTTATTTTCAGGGAGGTCTTATTTTCGGGGAGATGCCTTATATTTCAGCACGAGGCAAAACTGTAAGTAGGTCTTATTTTCAGGGGATGTCTTACTTTCGGGGAAACAGGGTATAATACAGGTTCAACAGAGAGTATTTGTATATGTGTACATATTTGGCTTTGCTGCAATATACCCATGAATGCAGCGGAGTATACAAGGGACAAAGTTATGAAATCTCTTTTTATATAAAAGCAAACACTTTGGGGAAATGAGTCACTGGGCCCTGAGGGATCAGCACCATGGCCTAGGGGATATCAAAGTCTACTGGCAAACTTCACACCATGTTCTACATCCTACTTTGGTGAGTAATGAC